TTTGAGTTTGGAGCTCAAGAAGTTCAAGCATAGGATCCCTCTACACATTGGCCCTACCGGTGCTCTGAGGGTTCCCTTGCACAGGTTCAATAAAGACATGAAAGCTGAACTTAGCAAAGCCCTTGAACAACTGGAACCTGCCCTTGATGCACATCAGCTTGCCGACCTTCCGGAAGATCGGCTCAGCAGGCACCCCCGTGCTTCCATATATCCACGTGATCCCCCGCTTCCCGACCTTCAGCATCATGCCGGCCGAGAAGCGCTCGCGCAGCCAGAAGAAGGAGCTGGAGCTCAACCCGGCAGAGGTGGCATGGAACCGCCTGGTACTCCGGATGATCATGGCCTGCATCCATGCGGTTCATACAGCGATCCTCTCCCACATGGGTGTTCGTGGGCCGAAGCGCCTCCTGATCGACCAAGTGCTGAGCGAGCTGCCCCAACTGACAGGGAACGAGCTGGACCAACTGCGCTACGCCGTGGACCAGCATCTGGAACGGCGGGCCTTAGAGGAGACCCAGGCGGAACACTGGGATGCAAGGCGCGACTGGAGCCGCCAGACCACACCGGACGAGGTCATGGCCGAGAGGAGGGACAGCGACTTCATTCTGGTCGAGAACCAGGCCGTGGTGAAGGGTCCGGACTGGCAACCGACAATGGAGGCATCCAGCAGTCAGGGAATGAGGAGCCCGGCCGGGCAAGCACCACGAAGCAATCCCTCCGCCGATCAACTACCCGGCGGCTCCGGGATCAGTGCCTACGACTCCGGCTCTCTCCGAGAAGAGTGCCCTCTCCGGCTTCACGACGGCGACCGAGGCCTGCCAGCACAGGACGACTACCTATGCCGGGTCGAATGCGTTCATCCGGCAAGGTCCTCCGCAGGGAGAAGGTGAAGCCAAGGCCGGATCCGGCCCCGCTGGTGGAGCGAGATCCTCCGTCCCCAAATTCGTCCACTTTTGCGAGCCCGAGCTTCAGTCCGACGGGGATGGATCTGCTGGATCCAGACAACATGCTACCGAGGCGACCACCACCGCCACAGCCGGTGAATCGACCATCCCAAGCACCATCGACCAGGAGGATGGCCAGCTCCTCCCGCTCGGGGAACGACCTTCAGGCGAAGAACGACTGGGAGGAATACCAGGAGTTCCGACGATGGCAGGCCCTCAAGAACAGCCAGAAGCAGTGAAGCCCCTCGGAAAGCGCCAGGAACGGCAAGTCCTGGGACACCTTCGTCGAGCTGAGCGGCAATGGACAGATGTAGCAAGCTGTCTTTGCGACCAGCACGGGCAAGGATTTTCGAAGCTAAAAGCCCGAGCAAGCCGTGAACTGCAAGGTCGTTCAGCCAAGAAGGTTAGCCACTATCAGGAGTTGTTCGCTCTATCCCATCAAGAAGCCAAGGTCGTGGCCGAGGTCTATAATCCTAGCCGGTTCAATAGCAGGGCCAAGAAGTTTCGACTACATCCAGGTCAGGCCTTCGATCTTGAGTTAGGACATGATCTCTTACAGCGGTCAGTGCGGCATTCCGTTCTTACATACATCAAGCAAGAACGTCCAGGTCTTGCGGTGATCTCTCCCCCGTGCGAGGCCTTCAGCGTGCTCAACAGATTGCTAGACAACTTCAGGAAGACCAATGTAGCAGCGATGAAACGACATCTTGATAAGTTGAAGAAGGGGAAGATCCTCCTAAACTTCGCAATGAAAGTTTGTCAAGCATGCCATGCACAAGGAACGACTTTTGTGTTTGAGCATCCACGGATCATCCACGCGGAGCCTCTTCATGGAAAATGCCTTCCGTGCAGCGCCTCCTCCGCCAAGTGGGGGTGATCTTGGCCTTCGCGGACCAATGCATCTTCGGCCTCACAGATCGCAACGGAGAGCTTCACAAGAAGCCGACCGGGTTCGTGACGAACAACAAGACGGTCGCTGAGACTTTATCAAGGAAGTGCCCCAAGAACCACAGCCACACGTGGATCTGGGGCAGCAAAGCCATCTCCAAGAGAGCTCAAGAATATCCACCTGGCCTCGTGGACGCCATTCTGGAAAGTTCCTCCAGATCTGTGGGCAAGGCTCCTCAAGAAATTCGAGTACAACTCGCGGCTAAGGTTCTGGCTGAAGACCGCCAGCATGACGTCAACTACTTCGAGCCGGCCGAGCTCGACGAGATCGAGCACAACCTTGCCGACCACGACTTCGAGATCTTTGCCGGCGAGACGGAGGAGCCCGAGCCGCCGGACTTCATCGAGGCGAACCGGCCGGAGGCCCTCGGAGTGACGGCCGACCTGGTGAGCGAAACCGGATGGAAGCGGATCCCAATGACGAGCCGATGGCTCTACGTGGGCGAGAACGAGCCGGAGGTGGCAGTGCCTACGGAAGAAAACGAGGCTCGAAGGCTACCATGGAGATCGACGTGGACCAAGGTCGAAGGACGCTGGGTCATCTTGGAGGACGAGATCAGGTGGCAAGATCTTGGACAGGCACCACGACTGGAGCCGAACACAAGCTACCTGAGCGTGTACCAGCAGCGCCTGGACGAGCGGGCCGACAAGAAGATGCGGCACTTCCCAGGCATGGCAAAAGTCATGCCAGGAACGGATGATTCGGAGGGCCCATGAAGGCCTTGGGCACCCTGAGCATGGACGGTTCCTACGGATCCTGAGACAGTCAAATGCGTCTGACGAAGTGATTGCCGCAGCACAACAGTTCCGCTGTGCAACTTGCCAGGCTTATCGGCTACCGGAAGCAGTCCGGAAAGGCGCGCCTCCCAAGGAGGAGCTGTTCATCAATGAAAAGATAGGTGTCGACACAGTTCATCTCCGAGATCATAACAACGAAGCTGTTCCGTCTCTCAACATAATCGATTTCCACACTCACTTTCAGCTTGTGATTCCCATGGCTGCCGAATCTGCCAGTGAAGTTCGAAAAGCTTATCGTCAGTGGGTTCGATTTTTCGGAGTACCTCGCAAGGTATTGTTTGATCTCGGCACCGAATTCAAAGCAGAATTCCGCAGACAGGTGGAAAATGACGGCAGCGAAGCGCTGCCGAGCTCGTTGGAAACCACGACACAACGAGGCCTCACCGAGCGAGCCGGAGGGGTTTTCAAGGATATCCTGTATAAATCTATGGTCGACTACCAATGCCAAACCCGAGAAGAGTGGAAGGAACTTGTCGATATAGCATGTATGACTCGGAACCGCCTGTTACTTCGAGGCGGCTACTCGCCTATTCAGCGAGTCATCGGCTACACTCCCCGTCTTCCAGGCGGTCTTCTCACGGGTGGAGCTGATGTTCATACTACAGCTGCTAGGATGGTTATAGGTGACAAGGATGTGGGTCGGTCTATGAAGATGCGAAAAGCAGCAGCCGTTGCCTTTCATGCGGCAGACTGTGATCAAGCATTGAGATCAGCGACTCTAGCCGGCCCCCGGAAGGTGAGCGACTTCGAAGTGGGTCAGGCGGTTTACTTCTGGCGGAGAGGCGCCGGGAGCACCAAGAAAACCAGGCAATCATATTGGGCAGGACCAGGACGTGTGGTCATGACCTCGCTGCCCAATGCTGTCTGGATTGCCTATAACAATCTGCTCGTCAAAGCTTCCCCAGAGAGAGTTCGGCATGCGTCTTCAGAAGAGAATTTGTCGGTCTCCGGTTGGTTACGTGGGATTTCACAAACTCGCCACACCTTCGAGCAGATCCCCAAGAAAGGCTTCCTAGATCTAACAAATGATCCTGCAGGTGATCCACCACTTCAACCAGAGCCTGATGAGGTAGATGCAGATGAAGACGCTATCGTACAAGAGAGACCTCGTGAACCCCCTAGGGACCCGGCTCCTCAATGTAGAGTACGACAAAAGACTTCATATCCTGAGAGATCTAGGGAACCTCAAGGTGATGTTGATGTCGAGTCCGGACGTGACCATGAACCAAAAGCTTCTACCGAACCTCCTCAAGAAGATGTTACACAACCCCCTGACCCGAATCTACTTCCGCCAGGTCTCTTCGACGCCGACAACGACATTGTCATCGACAACCAGCCGGATGCAGAGGGCCAGGCCATGGATACAGGGTTGAGTTCATCTTCAGGGATCAAACGAGAAGCGGAAGATCAGCTTGATCCTCCGGGCAAACGAAGTCGAATGCATCTCATCGAGACCTATCATCTCCATCTTCAAGGTCTCACAAGGCAGAGACAGACGAAGGAATCCAAGGCCAGTGACTTCAAGGGTGCAGACTATGAGAGACTTCAAACCGCCATCCTCAAGGAGATCAACAATAACCTAGGCACCCAAGCATACGAGCTACTGAGTCGTGAAGCTTCCCAGCAGATTGAGAACGAGAAGCCTGAAAAGATAATGGAGTCGAGATTGAGTCGAGATACGTGATCACTAAGAAGCCCTTGGAACCATCCGAGGTCAGCAAAGCTGAGAGCGAGGGCGTCCTCCTGGAGGACCGTGAGCACGGTCCATGCAAGTCCAAGTGCCGACATGTCATGAAAGGGTATTCTGAAGAATCAGCGCTGGATGTGGAGTTCACAACACCTCAGATTACCAGGGACTCAGTGATCTTCGTGTTGCAGATGCTTGCGAGTTTCCAATGGATGCCTGGATTTTTGGATTTTACCCAAGCCTTTCATTCGGGTGATTGGATTCAAAGAGAATTGTATTGTCGGCAACCTCGGGAAGGCATCCCTGGAGCACATCCCAAACAACTACTACACCTACTCAAAACCTGCTACGGATTAACGGACGGCCCCCTTGCCTGGTACAAACATCTTGCCAAGAAGCTTAAGAAGCTAGGGTACGAGACCAGCAAGGCGGATCCGTGCGTGTTTTCCTTCGAGGGGCAAAGAGCGAGGGTTCAAAGTTGGAAGGGATCATTGGGGTTGCAACGGATGATCTTCTACATGGTGGCAACGAAAGGCACTGGAAGAACATTGAGGTGATTGCCAAGGAGTATAAGCTTGGAAAGAATCAACAAGGAAGCGGTAGATTCACAGGGAAGGACATCTCCTATCAGAGCGACGGATCAATTCTGGTGAACCAAAAGTTTTATGTGGAAGACAAGGTGCAGATCATTCCGCTGGATCGGAAACGCAAGCAACAAAGGTACTCCAAGTGTACCCCTGCCGAGATTGAGGCCCTGCGTAGCTCCCTGGGTGTTTTATCGTGGCTGGCTAAAGAGTCCAGATGCGACATTGCGGGCAGGGTCGCTCTCCTTCAACAAGCCCTCCCCGAGCCTCAGGTGAAGGACGTCATCGAGGCGAACCGGATCAGCGAGGAGGCCCGCAAGTACAGTGACTTAGGCATCCGAGTGATGCCGATCCCCGTCGAGAGTCTCAGGGTGTCTGTCGTGACGGACGCCGCATGGGGCAATGCGAAAGAACAACCATGGGTTGAGGACCACCCAGAGGATTACTGGGAAGAGCGAGCGGACCGCTGGACCCGGTATCATGTGCATCTTCGACGGACTACCTTCCATCCTGGAGCTGCTCCAGGAGGACCGGACCTACATGACCTCGTGGAAGGGCGCATGATCGTCAAGTTTGACAAGGCGGCGGACGAGACCATGCGCAAGGAGGTCTTGGAGGACAAGTGGTCCGATGCCCAAGGCATCCGAGTGTTGCAAGACAGCCCTTGGACCGGGCACAGTGTCTTCTGGAAGTCAAAGGGGGACAAGTTGCCGGCTACCAAGGTGCACTCTAGCCGACTCTAGCCTGAACCAACTCCAAAACCTGAGCAGCCAGGGCGGCCAGATCGTTATCTACCACGACAAGAAGCTTTCAGAGACAGAAGCCCCAGCGCTGACAACGGTGGCATCCTGGAAGAGCTACCGTCTGAAGCGCAAGACGGTGGACACCTTGGCAGCAGAAGGTCAAGCCTTGCAAGGAGGCTTGGGAGCGGTCCATTGGCATCGCCTCCTTTTCATGGAGGCCCTCTTCGGCAATCTGTCGGTGACTGACTGGAGAGCAGTAGCGGGTAGGCTTCCTGTTCTTGCAGCCGTTGATTCCAAATCTTTGTATGATGCAGTGACTAAATGTGCTTGTACAGCGTCGTACGTGAGCGACAAACGAACAGCCATTGATTTGGCTGTCATAAAATCGGATCTGACTGAGACCAGCGGTACGATCCGCTGGATAGACACTAGATCGATGTTGTCAGATCCGCTGACGAAGCAGCACCCCGGAGCATATCTGAGATATGTTCTTCGTAATGGTTTTTGGTCTGTGATGGAAGAGGGACACGCCTTGCAAGCTAAGGCACTGGAGCGAGAGGCCAGAAGAGCCCACGAGAATCTCTTCATTACGATTTGGGAAACTAGAGTTTGACCGGTGTGTTTTCTGCTGTTCCTCCTTTCCCAAATCGTATCTTCTCAGAAGCCGTTAGGAGCTCACGCGACTGCCACGACTTGGCTCAAGCTGCACATAAGGAAAAGGCCAATGTTTGCTTTGGGGGCTGCCACTGTTGTTCCGACAACAGTGGTAGCGGAGCGCCCGGTGAGGTCCTTGGGATAGTAAGGGTACTACCTGATCTCTTGTGCGCATAGAGCCTAGAGCATGGCAGCCATTCCTGCAGCGGACCAGCCGGTCCCCGAAGACGACGAAGAAGAAGCTGAGCCCTTCGATCCGTGGGCACAGGCCGACCGCCCGGCCGGAGATGCCCCGAGTCTTACAGATGCGGCTGAGTATCGACAGTTTCTGCATTTCCTGAACCGTCGAGGACAAGGACGGCAACAGGCAGCTGCCGATGACGACGGCGATGAGGACGACCGCGAGAACCGCAGCAACGCGGGTCCTCCTCCCACATGGGACGCGACAACGCCTTTCCGGGACTACCTGATCAGGGCTCGGTTATGGTTGGCGACGACAAAGACGAAGCCTCAGAGCAGAGGACCGATGCTACTACGTAGCCTCAGTGGCGTGCCGTTTGATGACATGAAGTACCTGGCTAAGAGTGATAGCTGGATGAAGGCAAAGGACAATGGCGAGCAATTGCTCGCGGCGATGGACACCCGGGAGCTCTATGGCGAGGACGAGCGCGAGGACATGCTGAACAGCCTCTTCAAGATAACCTACGCGGTGAGGAGGCAAAAGAACGAAGGCCACAAGGAGTTTTTCTCCAGATGGGAATTGGCCATCAGGAAGCTATCCGAGCACAACATCACTTTGCCCTCCGAGTACCTGGGTTTCCTGCTGACCATGGCTCTCCAGCTGAATCAGGAAGAAGTTAAACTTCTTATGAACTTCACTCAGGGGCGTCTTAGCCAGAAGGACGTGAAGGAGTGGGTCCGGGTTCACGAGACCAATCTGGATCTACGGTCGGCGGCAGCGACCTCTACCGCGGCGAGGTCCAAGGCGGCCGCTGCATACCACACCGAGGACTCCGACCTCATCGGCGACTATACGGTCCTGGCGACGAGGACGCCCAGGAGGACCAGATCGAGGTTTTGCTGAATGCGATGCAGGATCTCGACGGCGAGCCCGAGGGCGGCCAGGACGACGGCGAGGGGATCTTCGATGAGGACGAGGCCCGGGAGATCTTGTCGACCATGGTCAAGGAGCACGCCAAGAAGAGGACTTTCTTTGCCGTGAACGAGGCGAAGAAGAACAAGAGCCTCGCGAGGGGCTACGGCACTGGAGCACGCCATTCCTTCGGCAAGGGGGGTGGTAAATCCGGATACAAGGGCGGTGGCATCGAAGGATCCTACAAGGTGTCGATCGAGGCGCTGAAGCGGCGCACAAAGTGCGCAAACTGCCATCAGGTTGGACATTGGCATCGTGAATGCCCTCGGCCCAATCGACTTCATGGCAAGGGCGAGAAGGAGCACGGGACCCATCTCCTGGAGACCGGAGCTCATGAAGCCCACTTCCTCGGCTTCGATGACTTTCTCCGAATCAAGAAGGCCCTTGCCGATGAGACCGGCGACCAGATGACGTATGGAGGGTCCACAAGCAGTGGATCCCGAAGGCGACCTGCCGGATCGGCCTCCGTTTTGTCCGCATATAAGGAGCGACTGCCTGTTCATGATGTGTGGTTTCTTGATAGCAGATCTCAGCAGACTCCGCTGGATGATGATGACACATGTGCCACAGTTGACACAGGTTGCCAGAGATCTGCGGTAGGTAGTGAGACGCTTCGGAAGCTGTTGGAGCATCAGCCCCCAGGCCTTCGAACGATAGTCAAGAACGAAGTTCACCACTTCAAATCCATCAACGGCATCAGTAAGACAGACCATGTGGCTTGCATTCCGACAAGTCTGGGACCCAGAGGGTGTTTGTTGAGACCTGCAGTGTTCGAGGACGAAGCTACCAGGAAGGCACCATTCTTATTATCCTTGCCCTTCCTTCTACATTGTCGGTCGGTGTTGCATCTTGATCCAGTGGAAGG